CTCTCTCTCTCTCTCTCTCTCTCTCTCTCTCTCTCTCCTGATTTCATTTAAGCCCATGGCAGTAATACAATGCCATACCATTAGCTCCCCAAACTTTATTTCCAGATTTGCCATTTCTATGGTACTCCAGATACCTGTATCAACTAGCAATTGAGATATTTCACCTAGATATTCAAGAGATTCACTACCAAAGTCACTACCAAAACCACTCGTGGTTTCTCTGTTCTCAGATGGAAATTCTTGCTTCTTACTCTGAATCAGAATCCTTCATGGTTGGCCTTTGCCAATATCTCCAAGGTCATTTTAGATCACTGCTCCACTCAACCACCATCCTCTGGCAACATGTTCTTGCCACCCTCACACACATCAGGTTTGTCCCTACCATGGGACCTTTGCCTTAAGATGACCAAGTCACATAAGATAGATTTAGCACGATTGAATCCCAAAAAATTATTGTATTCAATCTTTAAAGCATTTGGTGAAGGACTTTAGTATATTAGACATTTACCATGGAACTCTTCTAGTAAAAACTGCAACATATTTTAGTAATTAAAATCCAGCTTAAGAACTAGAACAAAAGAATATGTATGTATAGTAATTTTATGTACATGTGTATGTTTTTATATATCCATGTTAAAAATACTATGTCATATGTATGAATATTATATGGATATGCATATCATGTCTACATTACATATATATGACATCCAAGTCTAAGAAATAGTTAGAAATGATATACATATATATTTATGTTTTATACACATATTTATACACAGTATTTAACTTAGACAAATTGTCAAATTATATACTCTACTGTACATTTTAAATTTGAACTTTAGTGAGTTTTTTTCTTAAGCCAGACAAAAAAGTACAATACAGACAATACATTTACAATTCATGATTAAAGTCAGTAGGGAATGAGAGTATGACAGGATTAGTGCAAATCCATATATATTACCTACATTATTAAAAAGCCAAATAGTCATTTTGAGAAATATTTTCATTGAGTTGCATATAAGGACCCAGGCTGGCACTAGCTATTACCATTGTTTAAAACAATTACTTGTGTCATATACCTTTGGTGATATGTTGTCTGATATCATCTTGTAATAGGTTCTTACATAATCCTTTACTCCTGTATTATATGTCCCTTCAGATCAAAATTATCTTGTCTCCCCACATTCATTACCACAGTATACACAATATAAAGGCAAGAAATTTTCTTTCTGTAATGATTGAGTAGCATGCTACCAAATCAACTGCCCTGAAGAAAAGTACATTCCAATCTGATTTTATATGAAAAATAGACACCTGGAAAGACACAGAAGTGTGAACAAGAAGGGAGCACAATTCTGTCAGGGAGCACAAACCAGGATGGCAAAGTCACATAAAGAAATTTCCCATATTCCAGTTTATAACTTGAAGATGGGTGCAGTTTGTGAGGCTGGGGCCCACAGCCATTTGGGTGGCAGAACCATAGTCTTCCTGAGTTAAGGAGGAAAAATGCTGACTCTAGGGAAACTTGGCTCTGAGACCAGAAAAAATAACAGAAGGAAAAGAATAAGAAAGAGGGTCCCTAAATTCTGTGGCTGACCCACAAATGATGAAGGTACACTTCAGACTCATGACGACTCAGCTTAAAGAAAGAGGAGCTCACAGAGTTAAAGCACAGCTCCCAGACTTTTGAACATGGGCTTCACAGAGTTTACATATGGTGATTTCCTTTTGAAGAGTATAGTATGCATGGGGTGATGACGGTGACTCCCATTGAGGAATGTGACAAACACTACCTCACAACCAGTCAGGAGTTCATAGCATGAACAATACTATGAATGCACGAATCACTGAAAATGTATACCCTTGATACAAGGTGACCAGAATAGCACATTATCTCTGTGGTCTTTCTATCAAAATCACATAACCTGAGAAAAACATGAGATAAAACACAAGTGAAGGACAGTTTAACAGACACCTGGCCATTACTCCTCAAAACTTCCAAGATCATCAAAAGTAAGAAAAGTCTACATGAACTATCCGTGACTAGAGGAACCTACAGAGACAAACGACTAGATGTAATGCAGTATGCTGGGTGGAATCTGGAAAGAGAAAAAAGACAGCAAATACTATGAAAATAACAATAAAATTTAGACTTTAGTGAATAAAATGTATCGATATTTGTCCATTAATAATAACAAATGTACTATAATAATGTAAGACATTTTAAAAAGTAGAAACCTGGGAGAAGGTACACAAGAACTCCTGTGGTCACATTATTTTTTATGTAAAATTAAAAATATTCTATAATAAT